ATATAATTATTGTAGAGAGAGAGAAAGAGAGAGAGAGAGAGAGAGAGAGAGAAGAAGAGAGAGAGAGAGAAAGATAGATAGATAAATGAATGGATAGATAGATAGAGACAGAGAAGCATCCTGGGAGAGTCTCTGGCCCGTGATAATCTGCACTGCTTACCTTTACAGCCCTCGCAGGTGAGTGCGTTGTAGTGATATCCCGATGCTCGGTCCCCACACACGAGGCACAGCTCCTCCTGCGGTCGCGTCAGTCCCGGAACCTTCTTTCTTCGCATCTGGTCGTAGCCGTACATGGCCATCGACTGCGGACTGAGGTTGGACGAGCTGACGTCGGCGTCCATCGCTGCAAGAAGACGCAAGCAGACGATGAGTTACATGCACAGAACGAAACTGAATACGTTAGTATGCCGTAAACGAAATGAATTTCTCACTACAAACGCAACTTCTTCGGTACGTTTGGCGTGCAGTGCGTACGTGCAGCGATACGCGTGAAATATATTCGACGATGAACCATGGTGAACACAAAAGGCATTGGAATTCATTTTACAACAATAAGCAGAGACATTAAAATTCATGTTCATGATAGATACAAGACATTTGGACTTATTTCCCACGCTAAATAAAGAACATTGGCATCAATGCAAGCGATGAAATAATATTGGAAATGATTAGTGCATTAAACAAAACATAGCATGTCATTTAATGCAACACATTAATAACAATCCCCAAGCTAAAACATTGGATAAGCACCTTCACTGAATGCATAGTGAAACATTTCTGTAGACTACATGTACATCGTTCAATTCTTCATATTCGAATCCCTACGAGTAGCGTTCATTGATATGTTGGGAACATGAGTGGGCAGCACTGGCATCGGTGGTATAAGTGCTATTGTAGTGTCCGACGCACTGTGACATACTAAATCTACGCACAACATTGTGCACATAAACGACACGAGTACCACACACTCCACATGCGTGTCAAGTAGGCAGCGTGTTTAGTTACGGTTGTGTACGCTTTAAACATCGCTTCGCAAACAATCGTCTGACGCGCTCTGACCGTACAGCCAGACCAAAGGTGGTCGACCACCGCTGATCGAGTCGATTTCAGGACGCTTTTACATGCATACATGATACACCTACATCTGATCATCGCCGTAACGCTAAACTAACCCTACCCTAACCTTAACCTAACCTTCACATAACATTAACCTAAACAAACGTAACATAACCTTGACCTAAACTAATCCTAACCTGACCCTAATCTTACCTAACCTAACCTTAACCGATCCCTAACCCAACTTAACCTTGATCTAAACTAACCTAACCCTAAACTAACGTAACCCTAACCTAACCTAACCCCAACCCAACTTAATTCTATATTAACCATAAGTGATAACCCTAACCTAACCGGAACTCTAACGCAACCCTAACCCAACTTAACCTATCCCAACCCTAACCTAACACTAACCTAATCCTTAGCATCAAGAGCGTATTAAGAAGCTTCTTAATACGCTCCTGTTAGCATGTATGTAAGAGGATCTCAGAGTGGGTTGACCCGACAACCCATCCTAGCCCTACTCCTCCAGTATAGAGCTATAACTCGCATAGGGGTTGGCTGCACATGCTCATGTAGGGTGCGCATGTAGCTACACAGGTAACAACTCAATTATGGGGTTGCCCATACTCACGTGGCTAACTACAGGTACACAGGTAATAACGCACTAAAGGGACTGCCCATGTTCATGTAACTAACTACCGACAATAACTCACCAGGGGGCTGCCCATACTCATGTAACCATACAGGTAACAACTCACCCAGGGGGCTGCCCATACTCATGTAACCATACAGGTAACAACTCACCCAGGGGGCTGCCCATACTCATGTAACTATACATGTAATAACTCACTAGGGGGCTGCCCATACTCATGTAACTATACAGGTAACACCGCCCCCTGGGTGAGTTGTTACCTGTATGGTTACATGAGTATGGGCAGCCCCTGGTGAGTTGTTACATGTATAGTTACATGAGTATTGGCAGCCCCCTGGGTGAGTTGTTACATGTATAGTTACATGAGTATGGGCAGCCCCCTGGGTGAGTTGTTACATGTATAGTTACATGAGTATGGGCAGCCCCCTGGGTGAGTTATTACTTGTATAGTTACATGAGTATGGGCAGCCCCCTGGGTGAGTTGTTACCTGTATGGTTACATGAGTATGGGCAGCCCCCTGGGTGAGTTGTTACCTGTATGGTTACATGAGTATGGGCAGCCCCCTGGTGAGTTGTTACCTGTATGGTTACATGAGTATGGGCACCCCCTGGGTGATTACATGTATGGTTACATGAGTATGGGCAACATGAGTATGGGCAGCCCCCTGGGTGAGTTGGGCTAACCGTGCTCGCTGGCGAGCCTGCTGAAAGACTATCTACATCCGACAGAGACATCTTCTTCGAGCAACTCTCTCTCTCTCTCTCTCTCAAGTATTGCGTTATCCTCAAGTATCTCAGGATTTGCCTCCGATCACGATCTCTCGCGGATGATATCTTCACGAGGCATGCCTCGTCAGCGCATAACACAGTAACCTCGGCAGCAGCAGCAGCACAGACTGCAAGTCATCCCGCGATCATAAAAAAGGTGATGATCACACGATCAAGGTCTCTCTATCTATCTCCCACCTCTCTCTCTCTCTCTCGACTAGTCAGCGACTTGAGTGGCAAATGCGTTTAAAGGCGTCGTCACTCTTGGCGAGGAAATCTCTAGCTGTATGTAAACTTCTTCGTCGTGCGCGTGTACATCCACCCAGCCTCACACGATTACAGCCGACGACGATATCAAGTCCTAAAGCGAGCGGAATCACTATATAGCCTCAGTCTATCCACGGCTGTTGCAGCACTGTCCGATGCGGATATATGCGACGCCAAGGGGTCACACACGTATACACGCCACCGTCCGTACGATTCTCCCACGCTTCGTGCGCCACTGCGAGACTGACACACAAAACGAGAGAAATCTTGCGAGCTACAAGGTCCGCGACGATATGCGCGCACGACAAACCCAGCTACGTCCGCAAGAGAGTGCGATGCCCTAGATGCGCGCACGAACTTATGCCTGTCTGTCCTCGGCGGCGCATGTATAGACGTGTACAGAGAGAACCGCGGAGAGAGACGCCAATAGTGAAAGTGCGCTCCGGATGAATAGCGCCGCGCGCGCGAGTGAAAGTGTCCGTCCTTGGCCCAAAATGGCGTCGGCTGTGGGGCGATGACATGCACGCACCACTAACATGGCAGCAGCCGGGCGGCACACAATGCGTGCCTCTCCGCACAGGAATCCGGATCGCGGTCGCTGCACTATTGGGGCGGGGGTGCCCGGGTGCCAGGTCCACCCTCCCCTCTAACGCAAGCGCGCGCAGGAGGGGTGGAGGAGTCGGAGAAGGGGGGGGGGCAATTGTCTTACGACCATCAGCAGAACAAAAAACGCATCAACCGGACGCGTTCTCGGGTCGGGTCATTGTCCATGCCGATGACGTGTCCGCACGTGGTTCAATTGTTATTGCGACACGGAGAAGTCATCTTCTTGCGCAATAGTTCTTTCGAGAATTCCGCGCGAGCGTCCGCGTGCAGGAACAAGTGATCACTGATGTTTATGTTGGTGCTGTTGTTGTGTGTGCGTGTGCGCGCGCGTATGTGTGTCAGTGTGTGTGCGTGTGTGCGTGTGCGCGCGCGTATGTGTGTGTGTGTGTGTGTGTGTGTGTGTGTGTGTGTGTGTGTGTGTGTGTGTGTGTGTGTGTGCGCGCGTGCGTATGTGTGTGCAAGGTTTACCTGCAAAATAACTCGCCCCAGTTCAACGCAACAACGAAGAAATTGCTTGATAGCTTCTCCTCTCTCCTAAATAAACTTCTCCTTTATGCACATCTTTCACTGATCAGCTTACGTGATGACGTGAACACGAGTTAATTCTATGGTCCATAGAATCTCTTTAATTAGTAGTATATCTGCTTCGCACGTACACGGATCAAACTATAGTGCCTTGTTAGAGGGGAAATCGCGCGCGAAAATTAATCTTGTTCCAAACTCGATGGAGAGTGTTTTTCCTAGAGAGAAGCACAGGCACATACGAGCGACTATTATTTCTGTTACAAATAAAAAAGTATCGCCTTTATTATGCCAGGCTTTGTAAAAACTTGGTAAAAAAAAAAAAAATTTCGCTCGATAATTTTTACGAGGGTTTATATAATAAAAAGGATATACTAATTTCTTGCGTGGAATTAGTTAAGAAAGCATATATTTCTGCAACAGATAAACCGATTACGGTAACAACAACATGTGCGTGCGTCAAAATTATTTTATGTCTATGAGAGTTTCATACAATAGTCCACGAATCAATTTCCCTTTTCCTTAATTTCTTTGCAGTGTAGCTCCATACTTGTGATGTCATGCGCATGGCGACTGGCTTACCTTTCAGATATGTTTAAAATAGACGTAACTAAATGCGCTCAGATATACTTACTAAGCCCTGGTCTGTTTAATAGGCTAAGTTAATTAGCAGTCACGACAATCTTGGAATTATGGTTGGATTTACAAGAAAACGCTATCGCATAAGAGGTTTATATTTTTATGACAGTAATGCTAAGCTGTGCATCGCCACACAATGCATCTAGCCAACCATGCATGCTTCATGTTCATGAACTTGTTTTACTGGTGCGTCAGTTAAATACGAAAGAAATTTCGTCTTAAAAAACAAGATTAAATATTGGTTATGTGAGTTCTTATTTATGGGGTTTACCTAGCCTGTTTCCATGAAAATTGTTTTACATACGCAGCCCACGTGTTAATTGACACCGAATAGGTTAAACAGTGCAAACTTTACTAATATTAAAGCGATTTTACGGTATGTGATGCACATAAGGAAATATACAAGAAAGAACGTTCTTCTTTACTGTTTTCTAATAATTGATGTTTGAGGGCTCGAAGAGAACACAAATTGTGATTGTAACACAAAGGTTGACACACAAATCGTATTACAAATCGTAACACATTTGGTGTGATCACATTGCAACTCATAGCTAATGTAGTAAACTTGCTTGGTTTTTATCAATTATTATACAGATGTGGCTTAGTTAGGTGGACATGGGTACGTTCCTCATGTATCGTGTACATATATCACATATTCTGGTGGGTATGTGTGACGTGTTTTCTGTCCACTCACAGGGTCGTGCTGGCAAAGGTGTAATATACTCGTGGGCTTCGGGAAATGGAGGCAGTTTTCAGGATGACTGTGACTGCGATGGTTATACGAACAGCATCTACACTATATCAGGTCAATCCTCCATTGCACGCATTGTCTCGTCGCCAACTGTGTCCGAGGATAGTTCAATTAGCACGTTTTGCATAATTATTAACTAGCCGATCGCAATAGTAATGGTTAGACACTATTTTAGGTGATCCCGTACAATTATCCATGTAATTGTGTACTCGTTAATCACGTCGTAATTTTCTCAGCCGCGCGAAATTAATCTAGTTTAGCATGTGATATGGCATCGCTTCGTAAAGGCGAGCTGTACGTTAATAGCTGCGTCAAACGCATGGGTTCAATACTGTTCTGTCAGCCGATCTTCTTAAATTAATAGCTTATTGCACATATAGCTAGTTGGCATTTCCAGCCAGCTGATCACAGATTTAGGTAAACATACAGCTGATTCCGAAATCACGTAGAAATCAACTGTATTACCGTTGTTTCCGTACACTATGTATACTATGGCGAGAAACAGTTTACTATTATGTCGATAAGAGCATAATAATAATCATATTATAAATATAAAAGCGATGCGCTCTCGAAAGCACATATATTGTGTAATAATTCGTATATACCGTGTACACAGTGAGCAGCGCCTCCGAGCATGGTAAATCACCTTGGTACGCAGAGAGGTGCGCATCCACGATGGCTTCCACCTACTCCAGTGGCGCATACACCGACCAGAAGATCGTAAGTTTTACATAAACAGTAGTTTTAAGTCGACTAGTAAGGCTAATTTTAAGACTAATTACACGTTCACTGCCAATATTGCTGTTAAGATAGTTCTGAAACTAATACCGAGGCTAGGGCAAAGGTGGATGTAAAGACGAGTTATCCATACTGTTGGCTATTAGGACTACTCCGAAGACTACTCGTAAGGCTACTGCTAAGCATACAGCCAAAGCTGCTACTATAACACTTGTTTTAAGGCTACCTCAAAAACCGATACCACAGCTGTAGCTATTCGCTCCGCCACACGCAACCTGTAAGAAAAGCGAAAGACTACTTAGGTAGATCTATCACTTTTAGGCTACTGCTGTACTGCGACGGCCATAAGGCTGCTAGTAGACGGCAGTAACGGGTGTTGCTAGAACACGGGCGTCGAAGAAGGGTGCCGTTACGTGGCAGCACTAGTCACTTCGTACGCTTCAAAGTTCAAATCTTCCACAGAAAGATTCCACAGTCATACTTCCGTGCTAGACATTTCCTTATTTCCCTAACCCTAACCCTAACCCGAACCCTAACCCTAACCCTAACCCGAACCCTAACCCTTACTCTAACCCTAACCCTGACCCTAACCCTAATCCTAACACAAGTGCAGCCACATCACGTGACCCTCCTTCGACGCCCGTGTTCTAGCAACTCCCGGCAGTAACAGCTACTGCTGAAGTTAGTACAATTTCAGGCTGCTGTCACAGATACTGCTATAGGCCATAGGCAGAAGTGGAAAAAACAGTCCAGAAAACGACTTTCGTTTGACACCTCATGGAGGTATAAGTTAAATGCATTATCCTGATGATAAATCACCAATGTTCAACCAACAATTCTTGCACATTTGTTTGTGATGGGCTTTTTAAAAGTGGAATTTTAACACCTTTCCGAAACAATTAAATTCTGCCAATATAGGTGGCTCTATATGCAAAACTTGAACCAATCACGGTGCACTATTCCGCCAAAATGGCAGCCTTACGATGTTGTTGTAAGAGCAATTCAAACAAGTCATAATAAATGAAAAGTGAGATAATATCATGATATCTAATAAAACAATAGTGGATGAAAAGGGCAGCCTCTGGGGGGCAAGGGGGCTGCTGCTCCCTAGATTCTGTAGCAAAATTAAAAAATAAGCTTAGCTAATAATCGTAAATGACCTTAAATAAATGTAATATTTGATGGACCAAAATTATCCCTTCAGCTTAATCCCATCATATATGAGATTTATTTCTTTAAATTTTTCCCAAAAAGTATAGATTGATATAGATGGCAACACCCCTGCACCATTCAAAAACAATGCAGGCGACAGATATCCACATCCAAGTGTGGCCTTCAGCCACGGTGGGCCTAAAGCCCCGCTGGCGCAATAATACACTGTGCAAGTGATGCAGCCTACTTTTCTTTGCTGGAGGCTGTATAGCTTACAACCATGGCTTACCCTACGCTACTATATAGGAGGCCGTAGGCCCTCTTTATACACAATACTATATATGTGGCTTTGGTGGGCCGCCAGCATACACTATACTACAATACGATATAGATGGCATTAGGCCACCGTCATATACAATACTATATATGTGGCCTTGGGCCACAATCATAAACTATTCTACTATTACAATACTATATAGGTGGCCTTATGCCCCCGCCATACAAATACTATATATGTGGCGTTGGGCCCTTATCATACACTATTATTACAATTCTATGGCCTTAGGCCCCCGTCATACAAATACTATATATGTGGCCTCGGGCCCCCAGCATACACTATTATTACAATTATATATAGGTGGGCCTAGGCCCCAGTCATATACAATACTATATATGTGGCCTTGGGCCGCCATACACTATTCTATTATTACAATACTATATAGGTGGCCTTAGGCCCCCGTCATACAAATACTATATATGTGGCCTTGGGCCCCCAGCATACACTATTATTACAATTCTATATAGGTGGCCTCATGCCCGAGTAATACAAATACTATATAGGTGGCCTTAGGCCGCCGTCATACAAATACTATATATGTGGCCTTGGGCCCCCAGCATACACTATTATTACAATACTATATCGATGGCCTTAGGCCCCCGTCATACACTATTCTAGTATTACAATTCAATATAGGTGGCTTTAGGCCCCGGTCATACAAATACTATATATGTGGCCTTGGGCCCCAATCATGCACTATTATTACAATTCTATATAGGTGGCCTTAGGCCCCCGTCATACAAATACTATATATGTGGCCTTGGGCCCCAATCATGCACTATTATTACAATTCTATATAGGTGGCCTTAGGCCCCCGTTATAAAAATATAACGCCGGCAATACTATAACGTGCTACTAATAACTTACCGAGTGCTGCACTGGCGCTTGTCTTGTTTTTCCTATTTAATGCTATATCTATGCCTATGGGTAATACAATCGGCATATACTATGGTAAGTTGTGTTAGCATTACTAAAATACGTAAACAAAAAGAACGATTTTCGATCGCGGAAGCGTTATTGTCGGAGTGAGCTGACGGGGGCTGGAGGCCACCGGCGGGGGACGAGGTGACCTAAAGCCACACTTAGATGTGGATATTTGTCGCATGCGCTGCGTATACCAGCCGGTACACAATCTGGCTACGTTAATGTGTTAGCGCATGCGCAATATCTCACCAGAGGAGTTATATTTTATGATGAATATGCATTTAAAATGGTTAGGGGGTATCTCAGCATAGATTTCCTTAATATACTTTTATCAGTAGACCTGTGTTTATAATTAGGAAAGCGCCTTAGCATGTCGGGTACAAAAAACCTACTTTATGCCCTCGCGTCCTTCCCCTTGCCTCCCCTGTCCCTCCCCTAGCATCTTTCCTCTTCTACCGCCCCAGCTATCTTCCCTGCCGCATTTCCTCAGTCTTCCACCCCTCTCCCTCTCAGCAAGCTATATTGTAAAGTTTGTCTCAGACGACACTGCATGCCTAACACGGTGCGCGCGCATTCGCAATATCTCCCAAAAAAATCGTATTTTGCAAAGATTATGCATTTAAAATGAAGAGAAGTTATCTTAGAGTAGATTTATATTATAATATTTCATCAGTAAACATCATTTAAGAAATAGGAAGAAGACCTTGTATGTAAAGTCCCCGCTGCGTATACCAGCCAGTACACAATCTGGCTACGTTAGTGTTTTAGCGCATGCGCAATATCTCACCAGAGGCGTTATATTTTGTGATAAATATGCATTTAAAATGGTTAGGGGGTATCTCAGCAGATATTTCCCTAATCAACTTTTATCAGTAGACCTCTATTTATAATTAGGAGACCGCCCTAGCGTATAGGGTACAAAACACCTACTTTATGATCTCGCGTCCTTCCCCTTGCCTCCCCTGTCCCTCGCTCAGCCTCCTTCTTTTTCTACTGCCCCCAGCTATCTTCCCTGCCGGATTTCCTCAGTCTCCCATCCCCTCTCCCCCTCAGCAAGCTATATTATGAAGTTTGCCTCTGACGGCACTGCACGCCTAACACGGTGCGCGCGCATGCGCAATATCTCCAGAGAGAAATCATATTTTGCAAAGATTATGCATTTAAAATGAAGAGGAGTTATCCTAGCATGGATTTATATCATAACATTCTATCAGTAGACATCATTAAAGAAATAGGAGGAAGACCTTGCATGTAAGGTCACCGCTGCGTATACTAGCCAGTACACAACCTGGCTACGTTAGTGTGTTAGCGCATGCGCAATATCTCACCAGAGAAGTTACATTTTGTGATGAATATGCATTTAAAATGGTTAGGAGCTATCTCAGCATAGATTTCTCTAATAAAATTTTATCAGTAGACCTCTATTTAAAATTAGGAGAGCGCCCTAGCGTGGAGGGTACAAAACACCTACTTTATGCCCTAGCGTTCTTCCCCTTACCTCCCCTGTCCCTCGCTCAGCCTCCTTCTTCTTCTACCGCCCCCAGCTATCTTCCCTGTCAGATTTCCTCAGTCTCCCATCCCCTCTCCCCCTCAGCAAGCTATATTATGAAGTTTTCCTCAGACGGCACTGCACGCCTAACACGATGCGCGCGCATGCGCAATATCTCCCGGAAGAAATCGTATTTTGCAAAGATTATGCATTTAAAATAAAGAGGAGTTAACCTCGCATAGATTCTTATCATAACATACCATCAGTAGGCATCATTTAATAAATAGGAGAATGACCTTGCATGCAAGGTACCCGCTGCGTATGCAGGCGACAGATATCAACATCCAAGTGTGGTCTTAAGCCACTGGGGGCCTAGGGCCCCGCTGGCGCAATAATACACTGTGCAAATGATGCAGCCTACTTCTTTTTTGCTGGAGGCGGTATAGAGGGCTCCGCGATTTTTCATATTACCCATAATGCAACGCCGCCGGCCATTAGGGTTCTAGAAACCAGTTCAGGCATGGTACACAAGTACATTGAGCAACGCACCAACGACCTCTCAACGTCGATAGGCCATTTGCATGGCGTCAGAACTTTCCCCACCCTAATATTCTCTGTCGGCGATTATTGTCAAGGTTTAGTACGCACTTCCCACTATATTTACAGGTCAGCACTGATCTTCATAACAAGTGCACGACTGAGCACACAGGAACGTCCGCCTCGGCACCACTGGCTGCCGGCATCTTTGCCCTTGCCCTCGAAGCAAAGTAAGTAATACTGTATTTTAATTGCAGAAATTTCACAGCTTATTGTTGAATGATATGTTATATATATATATATATATATATATATATATATATATATATATGTACCCGTTGTGGGTGATTGATCTGGACGTGATCGTCCAACAGGGGTGCCACGTCGGGTCTTGTATCTGGACTGCCAAGCACGTTCCGTTATGGCCAATTACGACAGTGACAAAAACAGCAACACGAAATACTGCAGCACTATCAAAAAGATGAATAGCACCTGATTTTAACAAACTTAATTCTTTATACCATGTTATACATTATATCCAAATGTATACACAGACAAATTACAAAAATGAACAAATATAAGTGTGTGTTGTGCTGCGACAGTGACAAAAACAGCAACACGAAATACTGCAGCACTTGGCTGTATAATAACCTTTTACTAAACACCAGCAATTACAATATTATTTACAAATAATAGCCGAAGATATACAGTCGATCGTAATCCACGGTGTGACCACTCAAGGCAACAGTTAACGTTACCCTAACGCAACATTTTAACCAAATTAGTTGGTCAATTTGGCAGCGTTCTTCACCAGTGAAGTCCATCAAAAAGATGAATAGCACTTGATTTTAACAAACTTAATTCTTTATACCATGTTATACATTATATCCGAATGTATACACAGACAAATTACAAAAATGAACCAATATAAGTGTGTATTGTGCTGCTTTGGAGACTCAACTGACAACTGAATGCATAATAAAAAAAGTAAAAACCTGATATTAACAAAGTTTTGGCTTTTGTCCGCTAGATGGCTACATTCGCGAAAATTCGGCTGTTCTCCTTTTCTGACATCACCCCACTGCTAAAATTATCGCCCGTATTAAGGCCTATTTATCGTCATTATATCTACAAATATGGGTGGATTTAACAAATATGGATAAGCCCATGTTGGTGTGCGACACACGGGCTATACACTGAGATCGGTGGCGTCGGCATGATGCTCACCGCGGTGAAGATTACCGCGTCAGAAAATCGGCCTCTGCTCTCTTATAATATATAATCCTCTCTCTCTCTCTCTCTATATATATATATATCAAGAGTAGATAATAGAGTCTCTATTATCTATTATCTCTATAGATAATAGTCTCTATTAACTACTCTTGATATATATATATATATCGTCGTGCTCACGACATTTTTGGTAAACGTATCTGATGAGGTTTTTAATGAACTCAATATATATAAGCTATTCTAGTTACTAAGCATTTTGGGCAATGAGGTATTGCTAATCTTTAAGCATCATTTACAGCTTTTCATTATTCACCATGCGTTTTCAACGCAGCCGCATTTATCAACAAAGCAATTAAGACAAATGAATTTAAATCTTGAGGCGTGATTGCAGAGACTTCCAGACACGACTGATCGATACTGATTGCAAGCCAACTTTATTTATTATACTTAACGAACGATTTACAGGGGTCAGTGCCATAGTAGATGAACACACAATACTCGGGACAAATGTACGTCCGAGTCCGTTTGCCTGTGCACGAGCTAGATGGGCCTGTACTGAATCACTATAGTGATGTGACGAAACATTGTTTTGTCGAAACATGTGCATAGCATATATGGCTATATGCATACCTATATAAGCTCACTATCGTGTGATGCGGTCTGATAGGCTGAGAAAACCTAAATAAAGTTATATATCCTACATTACACCTCTAAAACAGAAGAGTTAAGCATAACACTGCAGCAAAGGAAACAACGACAATTATTGTACAAAACCTAAATCAATAAAACGACGCAGGTAAATTATTTGGGTTATTATTAACTGTCATTAACTGTAATTATTAACTGTTAAGTCGACCAAGTCATAATCTTGGATCCCGTTAGTCCCAGGTGGTATTCAAAATCTGCGGAGATTTCGTGACCAACACGTATTAAATATCTTTCCCATACATAATGTTCGAAAATGTTGGGGATCTATCTATCTATCTATCTATCTATCTATCTATCTATCTATCTATCTATCTATCTATCTATCTATCTATCTATCTATCTATCTATCTATCTATCTATCTATCTATCTATCTATCTATCTATCTATCTATCTATCTATCTATCTATCTATTTATCTATCTATCTATCTATCTATCTATCTATCTATCTATCTATTTATCTATTTATCTATCTATCTATCTATCTATCTATCGATCGATCTATCTATCTATCTATCTATCTATCTATCTATCTATCTATCTATCTATCTATCTATCTATCTATCTCTATCTCTATCTCTATCTATCTTTCTATCTATCTATCTATCTATCTATCTATCTATCTATCTATCTATCTATCTATCTATCTATCTATCTATCTATCTATCTATCTATCTATCTATCTATTTATCTATCTATCTATCTATCTATCTATCTATATATCTATTTATTTATTTATCTATCTATCTATCTATCTATTTATCTATCTATCTATCTATCTATCTATCTATCTATCTATCTATATATATATCTATCTATCTATCTATCTATCTATCTATCTAGTGTAGTAGTTGTATTCACGGTTATGGCTGTATTCCGCGTCATTGTTGTACTCAGCATCATGTGTTTGGTTTGTATACAGTTTAAACGCGTGCCACGCAGTAGAAGTCTTTCCTAGTAGTCATTGATTGATTTCGCGTATACGCAAGATGTAGTGCCTACCCTAGCTCGTAACCCTACCCTACGTAGGGCTACGTAGGGCTACGTAGGGGCTACCCTAGCTCGTAGGGGCTACATTAGCTCGTAACGTAAATTACTCAGGCTAGGAAATTGTATTTACGTAGTGTGCATAAAAATAGCGATGTCACGTCGAACTAGATTGAATTTGCCACCCGCTTCAATAGTCGCCCATTTGAGAGCACTCTAATGTTTAGTCGAAAATGGGTTGGCGTACACGAGATTTGAACTACAGCCGACAAAAAACGAGCTGTCGTTTCATTGTATGTTCGTTGACGGCAAAACTGCTTTCAGCCCGAATCTGACATGGCGAGACATGCAGCATTTGGTTGTGTGGACCTCCGAGTACGCTCCTCTGTCTGACAACCCAGGCTGGCAGACGAACAACATCGGACTGAAGGTGAACACGAGATTCGGATTCGGTCTGATGAACGCCGCCGCGCTGGTAGAGATGGCTAACCCACAGACGTGGAAAACTGTTCCCGAGAAGAAAATCTGCACGGTGTCGGCGGCCAAAGAGAGTCTCCCCAAGTACGGTTTTTTGTTTTAATTGAGCCGCGCAGATGCTCACCCGCTGTGTTCTGGGTAAAATAGTACGGTAATTGAATAAAATAACATACGAAAAGGTATATTGGCCATAGGAACAATAATTCTGTAGCGTCTGTCGACATTATAGGGTAATCATGAACCGGGTTGTCAAACGTAGACTGGTAGTACTATAATCAACTAGACAGAAGGCACTCAACGAGAGTGCATACCTCCGCGAGCGTGTAACATGTATACATGTGTATAACAGCTGGCTCGCTGGTGGCTCGCTGCTGGCTGCTGCTGACTGGACGTTCTAAGGCGAGCTGCTGCTGACTGGACGGCCTAAGGCGAGCTGGTGCTGAATCGATCGCTCCAACGCGCTGCTGGCTACACACACACACGAACACACACACGAACACACACACGAACACACACACGAGAGCGATTACATTACCTCCCTGCAACTCCGTTGCGCGGAGGTAATTAAAACCGATAGCACTGTGCGTAATATACGAATTTTGTGATTACCAACACACATAGTTTTAAAGATAGTGTACAAACGAAGTTACGGCAATTACTGGACAGAAAATGAGCGAGGTTGGGTACGATATTGTCATATCGTGAACTGTGTAACCCCGCACGCCACGCAATATCAATTTCTGAACATCATTACGCCCTCCCCCCCCCGTAAGTTCACGGTCACGCAGCCGTTGCATGCATTATTCTACGTTTTGCATGCACACTTTTTCAGATTCATTTATCCAGAAAGCCAAATAGAAGTCGTAATCGGCGCAGACGGTTGTCAAGGAACTGATATGGAAATCAATTACATCGAACATATTCAGCTTTACATAACTCTCGATTACACATATCGTGGCGCCCTCTCTATTTATTTGATATCACCATACGGTAAGCAACAAAAATCGTATCTACAATAACTTTCCTGTCAATGATTTCTATGTATAGTTATTGCCATTATAGCCAGCACTCAAATAGTTAATATCAAGAGTTAATTAATATAATATATTCTGTTATTATTCAAGTGCAAACGATAGTGACAACTCATATTAAGGAAAAACCGGTCCTTTAATTTTTTCGACAAGCTTCACAATCGAAGACGTTCATACACTTACAAATAACCTGGCGTACATACGTAAAGACAAGTGCATACACGTTTTAAATTTAATTGTTACGGTAACAGACTAGCGTAAGTATCGGATAACTTTTGCTAATCCATTTCTATACTATATATGAATGCGGTGGACTGCGTGGATCACTGAATTGGATTGCATGCGAATATAATGAGGAACCCGAGACGTATTTTTGCCTCAACTGATTCTAGGTATGTCAACATGTCTTTTGGCTTCCCGTGCCGAGGACCATTCGAAGGATGGCTTCAAGAATTGGGCTTTCATGTCCGTTCACAACTGGGGAGAGAATCCAAAAGGGAACTGGAGGCTATCAATTGTAAGCATTCCAATAATAGGCTTACATAGCACGGGGAGTTTGAACGTATCACTAGCAATTGTGCGTCGTCAGATTTAATTATTGTCCGTATAATTCCAATTATTGTAATTTTATTATTATTAATTAAGTCAGACATTTGCTAACGTCTAATTAACATCACCGGTGCATGCCGTTACTGGTGGTGATACGCGAGGACAACACTTTAAAAACACCAGCTCGTGTTGATCTT